AAACCTGACTATAAAAAATTAAAACAATTAAACAAGCAATCATATTAAAACATCTGATGTTTTCAAGTCCACATGGAACAGCAAGTTGTGAACAATTTGATTGGCATGACGCAAAAATGAGCAATCTATATGAATGATTGATGATGGCATTGGCTTTTATTTCTGTGCCCATTTATTCTGGGTCAATTGCTGGAAATCCTTCTATATGGGTTTCTTGGGAGGTATAATTACCCCTTGCTGTGTTGCCTCTGCCTTGCCCTCCTCCCTTAGCCCTAGAGAGATACAGAGATGGGAAATGCCAAGCTGGTTTAGTCTTCATTTAGAACAGTGGTTCTCAACCTTCCTAATGTTGCGACCCCTTGATACAGTTCCTCATGTTGTGGTGACCCCCAACCATAAAATGATTTTTTTTGCTACTTCACAACTGTAATTTTGCTATTGTTATGAATCATAATGTAAATATCTGATAAGCAGGATGTATTTTCATTCACTGAACCAAATTTGGTACAAATACCCGATAGGCCCAAATTTGAATACTGGTGTGGTTGGGGGTGAGGGGGTGGGATTGATATTGTCATTTGGGGGTTGTAGTCGCTGGGATTTATAGTTGACCTACAATTCCACCAATGATGGAATTGAACCAAACTTGGCACACAGAACTCCCATGACCAACAGAAATTACTGGAAGGGTTTGGTGGGCATTGACCTTGAGTTTTGGAGTTGTAGTTCACCTACATCCAGAGAGCACTATGGACTCAAACAATGATGGATCTGGACCAAACTTGGCACAAATACTCAGTATGCCAAATTGTGAATACTGGTGGAGTTTGGGGGTAATAGACCTTGACATTTGGGAGTTGTAGTTGCTGGGATTTATAGTTCACCTACAATCAAAGAGCATTCTAAACCCCACTAACGACAGAATTCTGCCAAACCTCCCACACAGAACCCCCATGACCAACAGAAATACTGTGTTTTCTGATGGTCTTTGGCAACCTCTCTGACATCCCCCTCATGACCCCCCCCCCAAAGGGTCCCCACCCCCAAGTTGAGAAATGCTGATGTAAAGTGTTCTGGATGGATGGAGGTGGAGTTCTCAGAATACATAGCAGGCTATGCCTGGGAGTGATCTGACCCACCTGAAAGCATCAAGCCATGTGCCTGGGCATTCACTGTGCCTGGACCTCACAACCTCTGAGGATGCCTGCCATATATGCAGGTGAAACATCAGGAGAGAATGCTTCTAGAACATGGCCATACTGACAACAACTCAGTGATTCCAACCATGGAAGCCTTCAACAATACACTATGTAAATAGCTCACATCAGGGAAAGTTTTCATATAAAACTGGATGAGCCTTTTCATTGTTTTGGCCCACAACTCCCACGGGTAGCTGCTGGTTATTCCCATCAAGGATTTGTGAAAGCTACATTTGTAGAGGCAAGGATGTCATTTATTGTAAGCAGCAGTTCTGCTTTTATTCCTCGTTAATACAAATGAAATATCTGCTTTTAGAATGGATGCAATAAGTTAAAGGAGACTGTGCTAGGCAAACTGGCCCTGGGGCAACACTGGTTCCCCAAGGTTAGTTTTGCACCTCAGTGCCTCAGATAACCCTTTTCAGATAGAAAGGGATGGGGGATGGATTGTCTTTTCCTGAAAACCCCAAGCACAGCAATTTTGAGTAGTTGCAGAGTCTTCTTGTACTGTTTCATAGGAGCCACTGGTGGCAAAATAGGTTAAACCCTTGTGCTGGAAGCACTGCTGACCGAAAGGTCAGCAGTTCAGATCCAGGAAATGGGGTCCAGCTTCTCATGTGGGGCCATGAGAGAAGCCTCCCACAGGATGGTAAAACATCTGGGCATCTCCTTGGCATCATCCTTGCAGACAGCCAATTCTCTCACACCAGAAGCAACTTGTAGTTACTCAAGTTGCTACTGACATGAAAAAAAAGTTGTCCTGTTTTGACATTTTGAAAAATTACCAATTTCTCAAAGCCATAAGAGAACCGTGTAGGTTTTTGTGTTGTTTTGTTTTGCATTTTTGGTAATCCATCTAGCTCTTGGATGTCATAATATCTGTTTTGACTACTGCTGTACTTTGTATGGAGCTATTGGACTCCGAGTCCCCACGTAGAGTAGGGAGCCCTCTTGGCCGAGGCTGGGTTATTCTGTTTCCAATAATCATCAGACTGGGATGTGGATTAGTTGTCATCCATCATAGATATGTGCAAAGTCGGTATGCTGTAGTGGTTTGAGTAGGGCTCAACAAAACTAGGATTTGAATCTTGGCTTTAAAAGAGCTGCCCACTGACCTTGGAGTTCTCAGGCTTTACAGAATGTCTGCTTGTAATTCAGTTCAATATAAACATCCTGCTGTTTCCAGAAATGTGGTGCAAGGGCTGAAGAAATAGCCATGACTGCAGCAAATCCAAATGGCAAATGAAAGAAAGGAATGTATGTGGAACTCAGCTTAGAAGTAACAAGGAAATTGGAACTGAACTGTTGCAGGGATAGGCAATATTTGGAATAAGCCTACAGTACTAGATTGGGTTTAAAATATTAGTTGCCAGGAGACAATAATAAAATGTGTTGTCGAAGGCTTTCATTGCTGGAATCCCTGGGTTGCTGTGAGTTTTCCGGGTTCTATGGCCATGTTCCAGAACCATTCTCTCCTGATGTTTCACTTCGCATCCTCTAAGGATCCCTGTCATAGATGTGGGTGAAATGTCAGGAGAGAATGCTTTTGCAACATGGCCATACAGCCCGGAAAACTCACTGCAGCCCCATCACAGATTTGGAAGAGATCACATGAGCCAGGCTGAGAGGGGATATGATAGCCATGTATAAATATGTGAGAGGAAGCCACAGGGAGGAGGGAGCAAGCTTGTTTTCTGCTTCCCTGGAGACTAGGACGCGGAACAATGGCTTCAAACTACAAGAGAGGAGATTCCATCTGAACATGAGGAAGAACTTCCTGACTGTGAGAGCCGTTCAGCAGTGGAACTCTCTGCCCCAGAGTGTGGTGGAGGCTCCTTCTTTGGAGGCTTTTAAGCAGAGGCTGGATGCCCATCTGTTGGGGGTTATTTGAATGCGATGTTCCTGCTTCTTGGCAGGGGGTTGGACTGGATGGCCCATGAGATCTCTTCCAACTCTTAGATTCTATGATTCTATGATTCTAGTCCTACCCCCTGCGATTCAGGAAAAACACAATCAAAGCACCCCCGACAGATGGCCGCTCAACCTCTATTTAAAAGCCTCCAAAGAAGGAGCTTCCACTGGACTCTGAGGCAGTGAGTTCCACTGTTGAACTTCATTTGAATTCAGGAACTTCTTTATCATAATATTCAGGTGGAATCTCCTTTCATGTCATTTGAACCCATTGCTCCTTTGAGTCTTCAGGGCATTAGAAAGCAAGCTTTGCTCCTTCTTCCTTATGCTAGCCTTTCAAATATGTAAACATGGCTCTTGTGGCTCCTTTTCTCATCCTTCTCTTCTGCAACTAAACAGGCCCAGCTCTTTAAGCCACTCCTCAAAGGGATTAATGGTTTCCAGACTTTGGATCATTTTGGTCTCCCTCCTCTGGACACTTTCCCAATGGGAACCCTTACCCAACTATAAGGCTATCATTTAATTTTTTCTAAGAAACAGTAAAGCCCCAATCCTAGTATATAACATATATGTCGGGCTCACATAACCTGAAACAGAATTTTTGAAGTATCCTCAAAAATGATTGTTTATTGAAAATAGTAATACAACCTAATAATAATATAATATAATATTATGAAATATAATATATTGTGTATACATATAATATTTATATTATAATGTAATACAATATAATAATAATATAATATTATAATTATATATTTTATTTTACATGTAACATTACTAATAATATTACAATATAATGGTATAGTACAATATAGTAATATATAATACTGATATTGTACTATGCTAATAATATAATATATTGTATGTATGTATGTGTGTGTGTGTGTGTGTATATATATATATATATATATATATATATATATATCTTGTAAGCCGTTCTGAGCCCCCTTCTGGGTGAGAAGAGCGGCATATAAATGTCATAAATAAATAAATTTTAGTTGTATAAGTACTAATATTAGAATGTAATTAAATTTTCAAGCTATTAAAGGTAATTAACATTTTTAACATATTGTGTAAATGTAAGCATATTTGTAACCAGAATAGATAATGCAATGCCACAGTTAACTGAGAGCAATGTGTAGGGCCAATGCTATATATCACCTTTTGAAAACTATGGTAGACATTTTCTTGGCTGGTAACCTTTTTTACAGTAGTGAATAAACGTGTGGCAGTTTTCTCATATTAGAACCCTATAGCTATAATAATTCATCTGTTCAGGTAAAAATGTTTGGTCAGGAAAAATATTTTGTTACTTGCTACAATTTGGCTAGACATTATTCAAACCCTTGTTTCTCTTCCCATTATCGATCATGATCTTTTCTGGGAAATGATTAGTTTGCTCAATTGATGAAGTCTAAAACTGCAAACTGAAGACCGTAAAAACTGCAGTCCTGCCATTTCTCAAACTTGTAAGTAAATGTGTTAGCAAATGGAGAATTTGAAATGGAATAGGAATGTGTTTGCTATTCAGATTAGCACAAATGGGCCCTCTATATCTGCTAGTGTTTGTTTCCAGTATCTGCTGGTGTAGTGGATAACAAAATCTGTGGATGTTTAAATTCCATTATCTAGTTGTGTTGTTGTTGATGTTGTTGTTTATTTGTTCAGTCGCTTACGACTCTTTGTGGCCTCATGGACCAGCCCACGCCAGATCTCCCTGTTGGCCATCACCACCCCCAGCTCCTTCAGAGTCAAGCCAGTCACGTCAAGGATCCCATCCATCCATCTTGCCCTTGGTCGGCCCCTCTTCCTTTTTCCTTCCATTTTCCCCAGCATCATTGTCTTCTCTAAGCTCTACTTATATGGCCTCCTTTTCTTTTTCTACAGGTCATCTGATGAGGCAGAGCACTGTATCAGAGACATCATAGAGTCTCCCATCCAGGATTCTCAAACTGCCTTTAACCCAGCAGATCAAAATAAGGTAAACTGTGCTAGCTTGTGGTCTTCCTTCAGTACTGAAAATGTGATTCATTCAGTTATTGTCTGTTTTCCCTCTCAGAAGCTCAAGACTGCACATGTAGTTTCTGTCCTAATCTTCATCACATTCAGAGTTGAATGAGCATTTGAATTTAGGTTGATTTGACACTTGAATCATGATCCTTTGTGTAGCACAAGATACAGTAAAATAAATAAATTCAGAATTATTGAAATACACTCAGGATAACATGAAAAATTTGCCATATAAACTCAAGTATAAGTCGACCTGAATATAATTTGAGGCACCTAATTTTACCACAAAAAAAAAACCTGGGAAACGTATTGTCTCGAGTATAAGTTGAGGATGGGAAATGCAGCAGCTACTGGTAAATTTCAAAATAAAAATAAATACCAATAAAATTACATTAATTGAGGCATCAGTAGGTTAAATGTTTTTTTTACTATTTACATAAAACTATAATTTAAGATAAGGCTGTCTAACTCTGATTAAACCGTTATTCTAACAGTCATCAATATAAATGTGCTTTCAATAATAATAAAGAGAACAAAATAATAAATGTAATAATAATAATAGAGTATAATATTGGAAATGTAGTAATAACAGTAATAACAGTAAAATAATAAATGTAATAATAATAGACTAAAATAAGTGTAATAATAAAAATAATAAATATAGTAAAATAATAAATGTAATAATAACAACAAAAATAATAGAGTAAAATAATATTTTCAGTCTAAGAAAAGGGCTGAAAACTCAGCTTATACTCGAGTATATACAGTATCTAATTTGTATAGTCAATCCATTTCGAAGAATTATTTTCTTTTGCCTGGGCAGATTGGATTGTCTGGTTTAGATTTTAGATTTTTAAGAATAAGTGCACTCAATCTTGCATACACAGTGATCATGAATGGAGTATGCCATACTTTCTGAAGGTGAACATTGGAGGACTAAAGGCCTTATGCATAAAGCCAATATGTATTGAAAACCTGACCTGCCAAAAAGAAAAAAAATCCCTTTTACCAAGTCTGGAAACATATATTTAGAACAGTGAAAGGGATGCATGGATGCACAGGTGATCCCACTCAATCTTTCTGCTGCTATTAATGCTATATCCTTCAATATAATGCCATTTTGCCAGATTTGGTATTAAGACAGTGTCAGCTACTCTTTCATATTTCTCAAAGAAACAGTTAGGGCCTCATCACACAAGGAATGTTTAGCATCCTAGATGGCGCAGCGGGTTAAACTGCTGAGCAGCTGAAAGGTTGGCGATTTGAATCTGGGGGGTGGGGTGAGCTGTTAGCCCCAACTTCTGCCAACCTAGCTTTTCGAAAACATGCAAATATGAGTACATCAATAGGTACCACTCCAGCAGGAAGGTAACAGTGCTCCATGCAGTCATGCCGGCTACATGACTTTGGAGGTGACTATGGACAGCGCTGGCTCTTTGGCTTAGAAATGGAATGAGCACCAACTCCCAGAGTCGGACGCAACTAGACTTAATGTCAAGGCGAAACCTTTACCTTTACCTTAGGACACTTCTGCCCCAGTTGAGTGATGGAGCCTCACACTGCCAATCACATGGCATAACCTTACTTCTGGCAGGACTCTGTTGCTCAACTGGGGTGGCTGCAGCAGCACTGGCAACCTGGTAACCTCCCTGTGTTACATTAGGAACAACGAGGCTATCGCAGATGGAAGTCACATGGCAACTCTTCCTCACATGTAATGGGGAAGTGTTGCTGGTGGCCAGGCAGGGTGTGGAGCACCAGGATTGCTCCTCTGTCAAACTGATTCACCACGGAGGTTGGCGACTCGACCTCATCAATGTGATCATCACAGCAGAGAGGTCCTTAGCCTCTTGCAGCATTAGAAGGAGGGGGAACAGAGAAAAAACAAGCAATGGCGATAGCTTTAAGTATCTTACAGTGTGATTTTGCTTTAGAAAAAGTTTGGTTATTCCTCTGTCCCTTTTTGGAAAATAATAATAATAATAATAATAATAATAATAATAATAATAATCTTTATTTGTACCCCACTACCATCTCCCCAAGGGACTCGGTGTGGCTTACATGAAGCCCACAGTACATCAAACAAAACATCAATAAACAATCAATAAAATACAAATCATATAAATCACATTAACAAAATATAATCAATGGTGACATAAACAAGGTTTAAAATGGCCAAATGTAATAGATTAAAATTGAAAATATGCTGACATGAACAAGGTAAAATATAACTAGGATAGTTTTTTTCGGAGAGAAATGAGGGAGCACAGTCCATCCTAAGTCAGTATTAAAGTACATTGTGAGGACATATTGCTGAGAGTTCTCCTTATTCTGTGAAGGCACACTGGAACAACCACGTTTTCAGGCTCCTCCTAAAGACTGCCAACGCTAGAGCATGTCTAATGTCCCTGGGAAGTGAGTTCCAGAGTCAAGGGGCCACCACCGAGAAGGCCCTCTCTCTCGTTCACAATCGTGCCTGCGAAGGAGGTGGGAGGGTGAGCAGGGCCTCTCCAGATGATCAAAGAGATCGTGTGGGTTCATACACAGAAATGCGGTCACGCAGGTAGGCCGGTCCCAAACCGTTCAGGGCTTTGTAGGTAAGAACCTGCACCTTGAATTGGGACTGGAAAAAACGGCAGCCAGTGGAGCTCCTTAAACAGGAGGGTTGACCGCTCCCTGTAAGGAGCACCAGTTAACAACCTGGCCGCTGCCCGTTGAACCAATTGAAATTTCCGGGCCGTTTTCAAGGGCAGCCCCACGTAGAGTGCATTACAGTAATCCAATCTGGAGGTGACTAAGGCATGGACCACCCTGGCCAGATCCGACTTCATGAGGTACGGTCGTAGGAAATGCCAAGGGCAGGGGTTGCAGTGGAAGATTAAGCAGGGGAACACATAAATAGGCTCAGGTGCCTGCAATGTCCTTTGTTTGCTTGCTGCCTTGTAACAGAGCTGTGCTGAGGGAAGAAACTGCCCAAGGACAAACAAAGCCAGAGTGTCCTGAAGTAAAGTAGAGGTGATGGAGCGTGGAAGAATGCCAGGGACAGGACAGTTTGATGAAGAACTGCTGGCAAACTTGGAGGAATGTGTGAAGAGAGGGTGGAGCTAGGGAAAAACCCTTGATAAGGGAAGATGCTGAGATCAGTGAGAAGAGAGTTCTGAGACAGGAGGAACTGTTGAAGCAGAGATGCTTTGCAGAGAAGGGAAAGATTCTGTGAAATTTCCTGTATCTAGAATACCAATGGACTTACCTCTGTGAAAGAAGAAATGTATACTCTGTGAGTAGATACCAGCATGCCTGGAAATATTCCTGTATTAGCAGCCAGAGAACAGGTAAATACTAGCTCCACCTAGTGATGATCTGGAGTGTAGTTTCTATTTCTTTGTTTTTAATAAATAGGAACTGCAAAACAAGTGGCTGATAGTCTTTCCCAAGGCTTTTCTGGGCTTCCTCAAGCTGAGGATTTCCATGTTCTCCTTCCAAGGAAAGAGGGTCACTCTGTAACATACCTACCCTAATTTACAGCCCCTATAGAGCTATTAGGAGCCCCCAGTGGTGCAACGAGTTAAACAACTGAGCTGCTGAACTTGTTGACCAAAAGGCCAGCGGTTTGAATTTGGGAAGTTGGGTTAGCTCCCGCTGTTAGCCCCAGCTTCTGCCAACCTAGCTGTTTGAAAACATGAAAATCTGAGGAGATCAATAGGTACCACTTCGGTGGGAAAGTAAGGACTCTCCCTGAAGTCATGCTGGCCACATGATCTTGGAGGTGTCTATGGACAACACCAGCTCTTCAGCTTTGAAATGGAGATGAGCACCACCCCTCAGAGCTGGGCATGACTAGACTTAATGTCAAGGGGAAACCTTTATCTTTACCTTTACTTATAGAATTATTGGATCATGTTGGATGGAAGTGAAGAAGTCTAGAGTGAAGATAATAAATACATACATAAGTCCACAATGTGTGTGCATGTTGCTATTGTTGGGAATAACCCTCTCTGGGGGTGATTCCACCAAAAACATAGCAGAGTGCTAGATGCACAGTTCATAAGCATAAGAAACTTACATGTAGTGAGAAAGGATTGGCATCCATTCAACAGGATGGGACAGGATTGCAAATACACAACTTCATATGATCAAAAATGATGTTTATTAAATACAAAAAAATCCATTCGAGATAGGAAAGGTTCTTGGAGCTAACTAGCTTCACTGAACTATCTTCTAAGGATAAGAAATAGGAAAAATAATACAAGTAGTTATGTCTACTACATCTTGCCTGGATAATGGCAAGATGCCTCCTCACTCTAGAAAAGACAGAAGAAGAAGAAAACCAATATGGTGAACTCTGACCACATGGCTTTGCCTGGGCAATAAAAATACCTTTAAAAGAGGTAGTTAGGTTTTCCCTGAAGAGATCACATTCCAAGGTATTCAAAGGGGGAGGCGATAGTGGCATGCAAAGATGAGTAAGACAACCTCCTTCTAAACCCCTTTTTAAAATAAGCTTGCTAGAGGAAATTGGGGAAGGAATCCGTCACTCTAATCTAGGCTAACTACTCATTGAGAGCTGGAGACTTGTGCAGTTAGGGATGAATCCCAACAGCTATCAAAATATATTAAGTTATACGATGGTGTTCAGGTGATAATGTGGGCTTAAAATAGGTAGGACACAAATGCAACACCCAGTGATTTCAGCCCCAACTACACATGCTGTAAGATCAAAATAATATGAATTATTAAGGGGGGTGGCTAGAAAACACCCCACTCCACCCCCGGTAATGAACAGTGCAACACACGTCCACATGGAAAACATGTTTTTAAAAGTCAGGGGAATATCCAAAATTGGCAATAAAATGTAAACAGCACCACCTCTGGAAAATTTGGATAAAGGAACCAAATATGGTACTCTCAGGAAGGTAAACGACACCTTTACCCTTCCTCCCTGTGACGAAATCACTTTCTCCTTTTTGTTTT